TATAGATAAGACACCTAGTGGCATGTCTAACACTGCATCGAAAATATCTGCTTTCAAAAGGCAAAGAGAGGTTAAGAGAGGGGGCCACCGGATGTCAGGAAAAAAGAATATGTCTAAGGGATGGCAAGCTGTTCAGTTTGATTGTGTCAGGATCCCATGACCTCTAAGACCAACACATGACAAAGAATAGGGTAAGGCTCAGGAGGTGCTGTCAAGGATGCATCTTGTAACCAAGATATCACCACCTAACCATTTGGTATGCTGTATCCACTAACAAGAGGAGGAGAAGGAGGGGGGGGGAGGCATATTTGCAGGTTTTGCCAATGATTTTCTATACATTTGACACTCAATACAGCTCTATAAGGTGTTGTTCATTCAGTCATGTCCTGACACTTTGTGACCCCAAGGACTTATCTAGGAGGTTTTCTTGCCAAAGATACTGGAATGGGTTGCTAGTTCCTTCTTCAGTGTGTCCTCATTTTTACAGATGAGAAACTGAGGCAAAATAGGGGGTAAGTAACTCGCCCAGGGTAACACAACTAGTAAGTGTCTGAGACTAGATTTGAACTCAGATCTTCCTGACTCTAGGTTGGCACCCTATCCACTATATCACCTCGATGTTCCAAACTACATCCCTGTAAGATAGATCACATTGTTATCTTCAACTTACAGATGGGGGAACCAGTTCTCAGAATAATGAAGAGACATGGTCTCACAGCTAATATATGTCAGAAGCAGGACCTGAAAACCAACCTTCCTAATTCCAAGGCCAGCCTCCATCCATTATACCATACTACCTCTCCAAGATGTAGGCCAGTCCACAACACAGTTCAGAAGACTTTTCCAGGGATATTCACAATAAAGGAGAGAACAGACACACAGGAGCAGTCACTCATGCCCAAAACACCCTTGAAGCCACACTGACCTTCCACAGAGAGGTTTCACTGGGCTTTCTCTTTCACTCTCTAACTCAAACCACTCACCAGCAGCAGTATAAAAGACCAGCTTGTAAAGAATTCCAGCCCAGATGTTTTGATTCTCCTTGCTTTTATGTTCTCTCTACAGGTTAGGGTTAGGGTTAGAGTTCAATTAGGGTTAGAGCACAGTTAGGGTTAGGGTTAGGGTTAGGGTTGGGGTTAGGGTTAGGGTTAGAGGGGCTATTACTCATTCTAGTGCTATAGATAGCAGCAGCTGCCTTCCAGTTCCCTAGATCCAACTGAATTATAAAGCAGATACAAGTTGGTAGGAGATAAAGCAGGAAAAGGCAGGTTGCATTCCGATCATGGAAGGCCTTGGATCTCAATCTAAGGAGTTTCGGCTTTATTCAGCAGACAATAATGATCCATTCAAGCAAAAAAGGGATATGTCAATATTTTTCCACAAGGACGATTAACCTGGTAGCAGCACTAAGACTGAGGGCGAAGAAAGATTCAGGGTGGGCAGTCCAGTGATGTGTGTATTATAACACTCCAGTCAGTGGGAATTGAAACAGTTACAAATATCATAAATATTTAGAAAGACAGAATCAATATGACTTCATTAACCAATTGCATGTGGGAGGGGAGGAAAAAGAAAGAGTCAAAAGTAACTCATGATACAGTGGAAGTGTGGGATTTGAATTAAGAAGACCTGGGTTCAATTTTTGTATCATCTTGCCCAGGACAAGGGTACGTTCTTCATAGCAGTTATTAGCAGCTGTTCACCCCACCCGCACCCATGTTGTTCTTCCAACTTCTGGAAGCCTGTCCTGCTCTGTGGATAGACCTATAACATCCTCTCCAGCTTCCAGGTCCCTTTTGTTTTTTGAGAATTAATTAAGCTGACAACTGATCCTATTTGATTGTGCGTTTGACTGGTCCTTGAAATGCTTGACCTTCCCACACCAACAGCCATTGCAATATCTCTAACAGTCATTAATGTATACTCTTTAAGAGGTACATTGCTTGCCTATTTCCTAGGAATAGTATCTATTCTTAAAAAAACATGGAATTAAAAACAGAATTAAAATGTTGTTGGTTGTTTAAAAAAAAAAGAGGACCCGGGTTCAAATTTTGCTCTTGGACTTACCACTTATATATCTTGAGCAAGCCATTTAGCTTCTCTGGTCTTCAAATTATTTGCAGATCATAGAATAATAGCTCTCGAGCTAGATCGAAGTTCAGAGGCTCCCTAGTACAACCCCCCTCATTTACTCAACTAACCCTAACCCTAATTGCTTCATCCCCCTCCATTCCAAGTTGACCTAGGAAAACAGTCCTCTCTACACCTGTAATAATAACAGTACTTAACAGCTATTGGCCTCACTGGGTGGTAAAGCACTCCATAAATCGGAGCTATTATTATTTATGAGCTCTCCAGCCTCATTCACATAACTAGTCCCTTAGCCTGGCCTCAATTTGGGCCATGAAACCCAGCACAACTTCCAGCTCTCCACCTCCACCTCCTAATCTTCTTTTCATTCTACCTCTTTTCATTTCTACCCCAGTTAAGCCAAATGAACCCTAATTGGTAGAAATTTCAGCAGTGTGTTACATGATGTAAAAATCTTCCCCCATTATGTGGGAAGACTTTTTTGGGCAGAAGAATCACCAATAAGAAGTCCAATCTTGACTGAACTTAAACTGTTCTGATTTTTTTCTTCCAAGATTCTTCCTTTTCTCTGCTTCTGAACCTACAGATGCGCTAACGTGGCTCTATTCTGCATGAGGCCTCTCATGGCATGCAAAAAAGTAGGAAAAAGTTTGTAACTGTGGACAGTTTTAAAGTCAGAAGATGTCAGTTTCCCCTTCCTCCTCCAGCTCAGAATTAAGCCACCAAGATAGAGCTCACGGAGAATGGACTTTTTTGGTTAAAAAAAAAAATCACATACACACAATGGCCACACCCTCTTAAGGACCTTGTGGAAAAGAGACACAGTTTCCCTTATTCTAAATGCCACCTTAGCTCTGTCTTTTTCACAGAAAGAGAGCTTGGGGACCCCAGCAAGTAGGTCATTTCTCAGTCACATTCCCAGAATAACAGACGAAGTTATAGCATCTAGGATATTAGAGCCAAAAGGACCTTAGAGATAGGTATTTGTGTAACCAATTTGTTGAACCTGAAGACAAAGCATGTTGTTTGCCAAATTTCCTCATTCTAGCTTGCATAGATCTTTAAAAATACTCATTATGTCATCTGAAGTACTTACTATCTTTCTCTCCCAGCTTTGCGTCATTTACAGATTTGATAAGCATGCCATGTACATTTTCATTGAAGTCAGTCCTGGCTGTTTCTCCACAGTTTCCATTACTGTAAATGACAACTCTGGAGGTCATCTCTGGGCTGTAAGACGAAGACTTCATACTCCTCCCTATCCTGTTTTGTGAGGGGGGTGGGGATAGGAAGGGAAGTTGTTGACCAGAAACTCATAAAGTCAAGAATTTTAAAGCTGGAAGCAACTCAGCTCTCCTAATTCATCCTACCCACAGTTG